AGATCCGACCCGTTTGGAATATGGTAAGTAAGATCCGACCCGTTTGGTGTATGGTAAGTAAGCTTTGAACTACATTTACTATGAAGCTGTGTGTACAAGGTTAATGTTCTAAGGCTATGCATATTTCATTCATTGCTTTTTCAAATTCCTTGATAGTTTTTTTCCATGAATCTGTACTCAGAATTTTTACCAAAATACCTGTAATATAAATGTTTAAACATTGGTAGTTAAAAGCCACTCAAGTTAAATTTAAAGATTTTTTTTTTACGTCAAATCATTGTTTTACCTAATTTTGTTGAGTTTCTTCAACAGACTGGAAACAAATGTTCCAGACCATGTGCAAGGGATGTGCTTTCCCTATTGAACCTGGCGATCGATGGGTTGAGGCCATGGGCAGCAACTACCACTCCGAGTGTTTTAACTGCTCCGTAAGTTCTCCTTTGGTTTTGTGAAGACACATTTGAAAGCTGTTTTTGGGAATGGAAGAATATTTGCATTTTTAGTACAGTTTATAATTGAAATATGTGGATTAGGAAGCTTGTATGTTTCAATTCATATGTAAAACATAATTTAAGAACAAACTTAAGAATATTATGTTAACAGTACTTAGTTTATGCAACTTATCCTTATCATAACACAGTTGTTTTTAATAAGCATTTCTATGATATCATATGTGTTTTCACAAATGCATTTAAATAAAGTTTATCAGATTATATCAAAATTAAGTTTTATATTTTTCAGTTTTAATAACTATGTTTTACATACACTGTTTTATCTTACAGACTTGCCAGGTGTCATTGGAGGGACAACCATTCTATGCTAAGGCAGGCAAACCCTACTGCAAGAAACATGCACGATAGAGTAATGTGAAAATGGTAATGTTGACGACCTACCCAACCCCTGTGTCAGCCCAGACAGGGTACCTTGTCACTGCAATGTGAACTTAACGTCGTATATCACCATGACAAGGCTACAACAGACTTCAGGGGATGGAACCAGATATTTTATTCCTCCAACAAGCTATTGACATTCAAAAGACTGTCAACTCCAAATCTACAAACATGAATAAAAGACTGTAAGCCTATACAATTGATCCTCTGATGAAAGCAAACTCTTATCCTTGCTATTGTACACATTAGAACTAGGTTTTAATTTCATGTGTGATACATTTTAATCCTCGCCAAATATATAATCTTCAATTTGTGTTGCAAGGTAGACAACCCTGTTCTCCAAATCCTGGAAGCTTATTTGTCTGGCAAGCGAGTTGAAAAGGGACATAACTTCCAAATTTATCAATTGCATGCATCTTATTGACGATCAATCCTTATTTGTTAAGCCAAAACAACAGAACATTAACTTAAACCAATTTCTTGATTGGTTGGAGTCCAAGGCAAAGATCTTGTCCTTTAGGTTGCCATGATCCATGCCTGTAGCTGTATGACAGGGTTCTATTGAAATTTTAATACTGATTTTTTTGTATATTTTGTAATTGTATACATAATTTTCAAATAGCATAATATATTTTCCTAATTAATGTCTCGATGATTTACGCCTTATCTTTATTATAAACTTTACTGGTCCCAGTATTGGCTTTAATTCAACGGTGGACATGTGTACGTGTCCATTCCATTGCTATGGTTACCATATGAAATGATCTTATAGGTTGGAATGGAACAAACCAAACGATTGACGTCTTATGACTCCCATACTATAATGTCATCATAATAGCGGGGTTAATGTCCATACAGGTGCTGAGGATGTTTAAACTAATCAGCATTACATAAGTTAGTACAAAACTTACCTGAAAGGTTGGCAAGGATATTCAGTAAACTGGTTGAGGATGTTGTTGACTATCTGATAAATGTTATATGACGTATTTGTCTGTTTGCTTAATATATGGCTTCACAAAAATTGTCATATTTTTTCCTGAACTACTAAATATACAGCTTTTTTCTCATCAGTAAAATTGAACAAATGTTTTATATGCTGCAATTTTTCTCACTTATCTGCAAAATAAAATGAAAGTTTGGCATGTGTTTGACAGGCATTTTAGTATACAAATGCATAGTTCCTGTACGGTTGATCTAGAACAAAGCAGGGACGTATAGTGAACATAGTAATTATCTATATATCAATGTATGAGTTAGTGAGACATGAGTGAAGTATAAAACCATTGAAACAGATAGCCTGTTGTATAAGTCACATTATTTTGTGTGGATTTTATGTACATATATGTAAATTAGCAATGCATATAATACAAGCGACTCTAACCATTCTTTGCTAAATATACTGTAGAATTGCATCTATTTTTAGAATTTAAATGGCTTGTTGTTTGAATTACATTTTCGTATTATTAAGCATTAATTATTTTTACATAAAATTGAATATTTTGATACTGCTGATCATGTTTACAACTAGTAAAGTTTTGGCCTATATGTCTATTATCAGTCCAAAGGGTTGGGGTCAGAAAGTTGGATGGGATATCAGTGAACACGTCAACAGATGTCTCGACTCTAATACAGATGATAAAGTAAACAACTCTCTGGTGAAGAGGCTTCATTACAGATCTGATCAGGGTTTTTTGTCACACTGAAGATATATTTGTCAATGCCCTATTGGTTAATCAGCCAGTTATGTTTCCTGTAGAGGACCCATCTCAAGCAGAATACAAGATAAACATAACTACGGTAATATTTACATACCAAGGGAAACACTATCTCATGTTCACCAGGGACCTTACCGATAGTTTATTGTATTAAAAGAAACACAACTTATGATGTGACAAATGTGTTAAAGATTTTAATCAGGTTATATAGGCTGATATAACCTGCATTTAGGTTATAATGTAAAATAGACAAATTATATTTATACATTGTATGTAAGCTAATTCACTGCCAGGGTATGACGTAGGTACTAACATGGTTGGTGTATGTGTTCCCGTGTAGCTCCATGTGTACCCATATATATTTATCTACATCAATGGCAAGTGTATCGCTGTCTTACATACAGGCATCTTATACAGGGTTCAGGCCGACTTTACTCCCATAACATATTTTGTTGATATGTAAATTTTTTTTTAAATCGGTAGAAGAAATATTATTTGCCAATTCGTGACCTTTTAAAACATGATGTGATTACCTGTCATTGAAAAGAGGAATGTTACTAAGTCAAAAAAGTAAAACTTTCATAAAAAATGTCCAGATTGTTGTTTCTGTTTTCCTTTATGTAGCCTACACGTACCTATTTATATCGGGAGTTCAAAATCCCGTGCTCGGATGTTTACAAATCTATCTCGGAGACAGCCTGTTTTTATATGGGACGTCTGACTGGAGCTGAAAGATACACAATCACATGCTACAGTACGCTTCAACAGCTATTCCTTTGGGTGCTTACTGAATATCATAACTGATAGCTTTGTTGATAAAAAGCTGTCAATTGTAAAACCCCAGATATATACAGAACATATTCATATTTAAGTCGGTACTTGATATCACAACTGCGTAGGAAAAGGGGATAATTATAGAGGACCAGCAAACAGTTTTCGTGTTTACTCTGATAACAGGTATACACGTTCTATTGTGCCAGATTACAGGTATACACATT